GACCCTACAAAGAAACCTCCGCAAAATGCTCAAGCGATGATTTTCGCAGAAGTTCTTCGGTTCCTTGTTTCATTTCAATTCTACCCATTGTTACGCTGTTCTTGAGGATGGGGACGATCGACAAGCGAACGGAATTGAATGAACTGCGTATTTTAGCTGTTGAAAGTCATATGAAGATGACGAACGAAGCAGATGAAGAAGTCGAGAGCGAGCCCAAAACGTTCACCGGTAAGCATAAAACCATTGACTTTGATACAAACGACTTTAAGTTTGATATGAATCGGCTGAACTTCTACAATTCGATTCCCTGCGAGACAGAATAGGAAACGTACAAACATGCGTTTATTCATGGGCTCCAAAATTTTTTCTGTGCATTATGTACGTTTTTATATTATGGAGATCATAATAGGCTGTAGTCAAACGAAAAGCCTCATCATTTTGCCTAGATGAATAGGTCGGAATTTGCTGTACGGTGGGCTCATAATCTTCACTTATATACCTATAAGTTTGATCAAGACTAAAAAACGTGGCGAGTACGTGAAAGAGTTTTGGAATTACTTGTTATGCGTGAAAAGGCCAAATATTTACACGTGACTGAGTTTTACAAAGGGATATGACGGACCCTCTAAACGGGAAGATCAAGTCGGCTGGTAAGATCTAACAGTTCCTCTCTTGTAATACTTCCCTTTTTTAATTAAAACTAGAATATAACATTGCATACAATTCTACGGGTTATACATGACTTGACAAAAGTCTTTTCTTATACTTCATGATCAGTGAACTATGATTCACTGAGATGGGACTGTCTCAATGGTCCAAAATGAGGTATGGAGAGAGGATTGCTCCAAGTGGCTCTGAGCTGATAAACTCAGAAAATGAATTACAAAAGTATGTTAAGGCTGTTGAATGCTTAACCAAGTTCGCTTAATGCCAAAATAAATAAATACATTCTAAATCACACGAACAGGACCAGTCGCCTGGGGGTGGGAGAGTTGGAGGAGTTTTATTGTGCTATAGAAAAGTTTTATCGGTTTCTTAAGTATTTTAATTCTCCCCTTGTTGGCAGTCAATTTTCTATATTCCCCCGTATACACTCCGTTAAGGAACACTGCTCCCCCCTTTTTGTTCCCCTGAAAACCCACATTATCCCACAAAATCCACTGAACCCACCTCAGGCGATGGCCGGGGATTGGTTTCTGGCGTAAGCTTGGAGGTACTCTGGCTGATGCTACTGTAAAATTAAGATGGTATGCTTCGAATCACCAGCGTACAAAGGTCACATATTGGGTCATACATGTGTTCTGCTAACACAGGTTTCGGAAATCTGGAGGCTTTCAGCACTTTGTTAGTCAAAAACACATTTTTGTCGTTCCACAGTGAGCCACTGAGCTTGAGCGTGTTTAGATAGCAATTTATCCCCTTAGACGCTGGTTACTTTGGGAGAGATTATATGTACTTGATAAACTTAAAAGAGTATGATAGGTTTGAGTTGTATGTCCTCGGCTATTTTCAAAGCTTGATTTTTTTCCACTACTTGATACCGAAATTGTTGCTGACGGCTGTTATTGATCACATGATGTTTTTAAACATATGCCGGTTTTTGCATGGATTTTATTCTGCCATCAGAGCCACCGGAATTAATTTGTCAAGAAACTACCATCTTTCGTTATCGCAGATGAGAGCTCCTTTTTAAGTCTCTGTTGTGAAGCCGTGTACCAGCAACTTTACAATTTTTCATCAGACTCCAAACTACTTTCTCCAAATCAGTTTGGTTTCCGTTCCAAGCTTTCAACAGTAACTGCCCTTTGCCCATATTACTGACAATATATTTCAGAGTCTTGATAACGGCTGATTTACCGGAGCAGTTTTAGCAGACCTCTCCAAGGCGTTCGATACCGTAGACCATATGCTTCTGGTTGAAAAAACGGCAAGGCCATTGGCGCTGGCTCCTAAGTCGTAGAGTGGTTTGTCTCATACTTCAATAATCGGTACCAAGTAACATCTGTTGAACTGCTATCAGTCCCCTTCTTGTGAGGTCCATGTTGAAGTACCTCAAGGTAGCATCCTCGGCCCTCTACTATTCCTTATCTACATTAACGATCTTTCGAACTGCATAGAAGACTGTCAAGTAATCATGTATACACACGACACTGTGATATACTCAAGTGGAAAACGCTGCCAAGACATTCAATATCATCTAAATGCCGACCTTGCCAATTGAACTCAGTGGCTTAACAGTAACTATCTGACATTAAACACTCAAATATCGAAGTTTTTATTGTTTGGTAACAGTAGCAAATTGCAAACCTACCGAGGTATCAAGCAGGAAATAGATGTCAAAGAATTGGAAAATACAGATTCAATCAAGTATCTTGGTGTAGTTATCTACAAGAACATGACATGGCGTGAGCACGTCGGATCAATAATTACCAAAATAAACCAAAAAATCAGTTTACTGAAACGAGTCAAACATCTATTATCATCAGAAACGCGCATCACA